CTTAGGTTTAATATATATTCTAAGTGGGTTTGCATTCTCTGAGTTATATATAATACAGTCTGTAGCTTAGGTAGGCAACTCCTTTTTAAACTCCACAGAGTCGTAAACAATTCATATATATCATTAGTATGACTCTCTTAGTCAGTGGGCTGATGTCTGGGTTTACTATACTTATAAGAAACAAAACAGAAAGCAAAACAAATTAATAAAACCAGAATAGTTTAGGAACCAACATAAGGTTGCCATTTTGTTTCTTGGTTTGAGTTTCTTTTATAACTAAATGAGGATAAAAAATATTCCATAAATTAAAAAGTCTATAGTTTATAATTCTATGAAGTCAAAGTGATTTAACAGGGAAGAAAAGTAATGAAAAAATACTTTACAAAATAAAAGAGTTCTTTAAAATGAATTAATTTGACCTAATGAAAACCTTACTTTTGTGATCTTTATACATTTTTTAAAGTGTCCTTCTCTGAACTGCTGACCAGAATTTGTGCCGCATTGACCACAGCCTCTCTCCTACCTTTAAGTAAAAGAGATTTAAATGGTATTAAGAAGATTCTATCTAATTTTTTCCTATTTTTAAAACATTCTGTCAAACAAAATTTTGGGTTCTTTACAAATTAAATTTCTAGTGATCTTTGTATTGGCTTCCATAATTTTCAAGCTAAATTTTAAAACCTAAGTTGAAATCAAGTATATTTCATTATAACTTCAATGGAACGAAAAAAAAAATACCTTTACACTATCATCCTCATTCTAACACAGGTATGTTTTGAAATGAATTCATGCTTCTCTCAGGTTAAGTTCCTACAGTGGGGTTCCCTGTTTCTCAAAGGTCTAATAGGGGTTCATTAATTCTTCTTTTGGCAGTCAAGTTCAGTTCTGGGTGATGGAAAGAACCAAGCCTTTGGACTCTGATGTTGCATGTACTTGCAATTGTAGAGTAGTTCATACTTAACTCTGCGTGATGGGTGAAGAATTGATCCGCAGTTGTCAGGAAACTCTAAAGAGTTGTAAAAGTTGGTTAATATAGAGTGAGTTGGCACAGGAACCCAATACAGGTGGTGGAGGATGCAGACTATTGGGCCAGACTTCCACACCTGACTTTATGTTCTAAGTACCAGTCAGCACTAAGGATCCCATTTGCTAAGCTATAAAAAGTATATAGTTGCATATGGGGTCACACAATTTGATGGGTGGAAGGGCGATGCTAAGAAATGTATATGAACTTTGTAAATAAACCAGTGCTGTTGTTATTGTTGTTGTTGACTGCCTTCGAGTCCAGCATGACTCATAGCAACCCTAAGAACAAAAGGCATGAAGCCCCTCTACAGCTATCGACATTTATCAAAGTTCATAGAGTTTCCAGAGGAATGTTGTTTAGGAAGTGGATGCCACTCCTGCTTTTTTTTTAAAAGTATATAGTTGGATCATTACTTCCATTGAATTGTTCTGAAAAATGACAAATGGCTAAAACTGCAAAAATAGTACCTTTTGTTGGGTTCAACATCAACCAATTCTTTTTGGTACACTGACTTTATATATTCCTTCTGTCTTCTTTTTTCAAATATTTTTTCATCTTCTTTTAGTACTTCTTGCATCATTCAATATTTTTCTCATAGAATCCTTCAGTATTTCAACTTGAAGCTTGAATATTTTTCCTTCAGTTCTTTCAGCTGGAGATGACTTCTTTCCAATGGTACAGAATTATACTTAAGGAAGAAAGGAAACCTGCTTTGAGGCATTGGCAAAAATTAAGACTCTAGAACCGGATTTGAATACCAGTTAAAAGTGCTTCAGCAAACAAATGCAGTCTTGGATGGGCCCATTAGGCTATTCAGGAAATTTAGACAACTTCCTCTCCAATAGACTGCAAACGACCCATATTTTTTCCCATTCCCCCAAATAAAGTGATTCAAAAGGGTATAGAAGTCATTGAACAATACCATTAATATCACAAACAAGTAAAATCTTGTTGAAGATTATTTTTAAATGGCTGGGATAGTACATCTACAGGGAACTGCCAGAAATTCAAGCTGATTTCAGAAGAGGCTGGTCAATGAGAGATAGCAGATCTCAGATGGATCCCAGCTGAAAGCAGAGAATGCTAGACAAAATGTTTACTTGTGTTTTATTTATCATAGGAAGGCATTTGGCCATGTTATTAATCATAAAAAATTATGGATAACATTTAAAAAAATTGGATTCTAGAGTACTAAATTGTGCTCCTGTGAAACCTGCACATAGGCCAAGAAGCAGTCATTTGAACTAATTGTCTAGGTACAGAATAAGGAAATAATATATAGGTTTAAAATCAGGAAAGGTGTGTGTAAGGATTGTGTCCTTTCTCTATACCTATTCAGTCTGTATACTGAGAACATAATTTGAGAAGCTGGACTATATAAAGAAGAATATGGCCTCAGGATTGGAGAGAGAATAATCAACAACTTGGCTCATGCAAATGACACAATACAGCCTTCAGTATGGAACATCAAACAGACAAAAATCTTCACCACTGGACCAACAGGCAGCATCATGATAGGTGAAGAAAAAGATTGAAGAAGGAAGCCGTCAATGAACTCAACATCCATGTAAGCAACAGACAAGAAATCAAAAGATGTCATTATTGTATTGCATAGACCTGATGTCAAGGACCACTTTTTTTTAAGGTACTAAAGAGCAAGGATGTCAGTTTAAAAGTTAAGGTATGTCTGACCCAAACACAGTACTTTTAGTTCTTATACAAGGGAAAGTTGGATATTGAATAAGGAAGACTGAAGAATGTGTGCCTTTAAATTGTGATATTGGCAAAGATAATTGAATCTTGACTGCCAGAAAAACAAATAAATCTGTTTTGAAGTAACTGAAATCAAAGTTCTCTTTAGAGACAAGAATGGTGAAACTTTGTCTCTCATACTTTGGATATGTTATCTGGAGGCCCAGTCATTAGAAAAAGATATTACTCAAGGAAAAACTGAGGATAATCGAAAGAGAGGTTGACATTTACCAAGTTGAATTGACACAAAGACTGAAACAATAAGCTTGAGCATGATGGAGATTGTATTGATGATGCAGGACCGATCAAAGTTTCTATCTTCTGTTTATATGGTTACTATGAGTCCTGGATGATTCAATGGTATGTAACAATAAAAGGGAAGAGTAATTCATTTAAGTGTAGTTCAAGAGGTAGCTGGTATTAGTTTTCAAGGCACTAAAAATATGACTCATGTCTTTTGCTTAGTTTTATGTCCTCATTGTTTTTGTTGTCATAGTCATATACCATAGAGTCAGAACCAACTCATAGCTGACCCTCTGGTGTGTTTTCAGAGACAGTTAGTAGCACAGGAGGAGATTGCCTATTCTTCTTCCAAGGAACAGTTGGTGGCCTGGACCAGGTGCCTTTGGGATTGCAGCACAACTTCATGCCAGTAGGCCAGTCAATGCAATAATTTTAATACAGCAAAGACTAAAGGAATAGTTACCAGTTAATAAATGTGGCTTTCAGTCAATTCCAACTAAAATAAAAACAAAAAAGTGGCTATCACTTAACTCCAATTCATTGAAAGTCCATGTGTATCAACGTAGAACTGAGCTTTATAAGGTTTTAGTGACGAATTTTACAGGTGCCCATCCCCAGGCCCTTCTCAGAAGACCTCCATTCGCGTAGCAGCCGAGTTTACTAAAGCTTTGCACCACCCACGGATTTTAACTTGACGTGAGACTATTGCTACTGCTGTGATAGTGGTGATGTTGTCATGTGTCATCAAGTTGGAACCAGTTCATTGCTGACATTCCAGTGGGTTTGTAGACACTGTAAATCACCTGGGAGGATGCCCATCTTTCTCCATTTATTACTAATATATCAGTATTTTTGTCCACTTTTCCATTGGGTAGGATCTTGCTACCAAAGATTGTTTCAATTAACCTCAAGGGAAAATTATAAATTTGAATTCTTGTCAAATTCCTTCGACTACATAGCACCTACTACAAACATTAGACATTTTAATTTGAACTACTCTTGAAGCAGTCTTCAGAAAAAATGACAACAAAAGTAGGTATAGAAAAGATATTTTCAGTGTGTGAGCTGCTTGCAGATAAATAAAAATGTTATTTCAGGAGATACTGAAAGATTTCATGTAACAATGACAATAGCAATAAATCAAAACCTCTGCCCATCAAATCTGTTCTACTCATAGCAACCTCATAGGACAGGATAAAACTATCCTTTAAAGTTGCCAAGGCTGCAGATCTTGACAGAAACAGATTTCTCCTGTAGTACAACTGGTAATTTCAAACTACCCATCTTTCAGTTGGTCATAGACTTTCTAGCCACAGTGCTGATAAGGCTTTTTCCATGTAAAATTTTTAGACAAGGAATACCCAAAGTGCTCCTTAGAGGCCAAGATAATGAAGCTTAATCTCATCTGCTTTATTAAGCATATTGTTGATAGGTGCCTTTGAGTGGAGTCCAGCTCAAAGCAAACCTATGAGCAGCAGATCTGAACCTGCCCTCTTCTGTGCCATCCTTATCATCTCTGACACATTTAGTCCATTTCTGTAGTCACTGTGTCAGTCTGTCTCATTGAGGATCTTTCTCTCTTTCACCAACCCTCCAGTTTCCAAGCATGATGTCCCTTTCCAAGCAATAGCCTCTCCTAGCAACATACCCCAAATATGAGAGAGGAAACTTTGCCCTCTTTGTTTCCACATGGAGCACGCTGGTTGCACTTTTTCTAAGAAATATGTTTGTTCTTTTGACAGTCCATGGGATATTCAGTACTCTTCTTAAATACCACAACCCAAAGGCACCAATTCTTCTGTCATCTTTATTCACTGTCTGGCTCCTAAATGCATAGCAAGTGATTTGAAAAGACCACAGCCTGGATTAGCGCACCTTTGTCTTCAATCTGACATTGTTACTTCTCAGTAATTTAGAAAGGTCTCTCTGGCAGTGGAGTTACCCAATACAAAAATGTCTTCTGGTTAAACTAGCGGCCATGGTGGCCCTGCGCCTGCCGCCGAGGGCCTCCCTGTCCGCGCTCTGCTGGGCTTTCTCTGCCTCCGGCCGCCAGCGAACCCCGGGCCACGGCGCTGAGCACAGGGACGCAACGCCAAGCCAGGTCTCAAGATTCTGCCCACCAAGGACATCTCGCCATGATTGGATAGGACCCCCAGATAAGTACTCAAATCTGCGGCCTATTCAGTTTTACGTCCCTCAAGATGAATCAGCCCTGAAACAACAGCTACGAGAGCTAAGACTCGAAACACAAGAATGGAATCAAAAGTTCTGGGCAGACCAGAATTTGACTTTTAGAAAGCCATTGCCCAGCTTTCTGATGCATAGCACGTAATTGCAAAGATTGCCTGGATCAAGCACACCTTAATCTAACGACTGACATCGTTGTTCTTCAGTGCTCTGGAGAGGTCTCTGACAACAGATTTTCCCAATGCAATTTGAATTTTTTTTTTTTTTTAAAGAAAGGCAAACTGGGGAAGGAAGAAGGGACAATGTGCAACAATGAATGAATGAAAATCCAACTTTTCTGTAAACTTCCGTTAAAATCACAATTAAAAATTTTCTTACCAAAAAAAATGTCTTCTGCTCTCCTAACTGCTATTATCAAGCAAGTCAATTATGGATCCAAGTAAGATTAAATCATGGACAATTTTAATGTTGTCTCCATTTATCGTGGACTGCTAGGAAAACAAACAGATTCATCCTGGAAAGGGTTAAACCGGGCAGCCACTTGGAGGCAAGGATTCTGAGTCTCTGTCTAACATTCTTTGGACATGTTGTAAGGAGAGATCGGTCCTTGAAAAGGGACATCATGCTTGGGAGGGTGGAGGGACAGCGCAGGAGGGGAAGGCCTTTTATGAGGTGGATTGATTCAGTGACTGGGGTAATCGGGATGGGTGTGTCAGAGACAGTTGGATTGGCACAGGACAGAGCAGAGTATAGGGCTGTTGTATATAGGGTCGCTATGAGTTGCAAGCGACTCTACGGCATACAACCACCACCACCATTTATCATAATGTTGTCTATTGGCTAAATGGTGATGTTTTTTGTTTTCTTGATGTTGAGATGTAGAAGAGGCTATTCTTTAGAGAGGGACTTTGAAAGGTGGTGGATCGGCGTCAGAGAGGAAGAGCCTCAACAAGATGCGTTGATTGACAAAGTGAGTGTGGCAGTGGGCTCACATGTGTCATATTATAAAGATATTGATGGGATGGACAGGGTTCTTCGTTCACTATGAATCATAGTCAACGTGACAGCACTTAACAGCAACCCTAAACTTCACAACTTTTACTTCTTTCAAAAAATTATATTTTACTGACATACTTAGATACTCAGAAAAGATCATTTTGCTATGTCTGTGTTGTTATCTGGTGAGGAAGACACCAACCTAGCCCTTAGCCTCAAAGATCAGTCTGCAGTGCGACTTGTCTTGTCCTTGCAGTTCGCTCAAACATCTAAAAACTGTTTGTTAAAGAGCACTTTCTGCTTTCACATCTGTTGATGGGAACAGCTGTTATGCTGACAGGACAGCAAAGATATATCCACTGTCTCCTACCTGAATTGCATTAATGCTATGGTGAGATGCCCAGAATGTGTCTGTATCCTAATCACAAGTTACTGAAGACTTGTAATATCCTTGGATAACTGATTAAGAAGTTGTGCTTCCAAGCCAAACACAAACATCTCAAATTCAGCAATGCCTCCTTCTCAAATACAGCCTCTGAAAACCTTCTGGAGGGTCAGCTATGAGTTGGTTCTAACTGATGGCATAAAACAACAACTGTCATTATTATAAACTCCTACTTCCAGTAATATTTACATATAAAACTTAGGCCCTTAATTTAGTACATTTAATATATTAAGAGATTGGACCATTACCATTATAATTTTTAATATTATTGTGTGGAATTAAAAGAGACATATTTGACAAAATATGCAATGTAATTTGGAGTTTATAAGTGATGTAAATAGTAAATTACTTACCATCTAACTGAAAAATTAACTGTTCATACCCACTTATAGGTTGCTCAAGGAGAATGTCTTGGCAACTGGGCTTCTGAAAGGTCACACCTATCAAAATCCTCAATGATGATTAATTATATAAAACACAATGTGTGGGAATGTTCGTATTAAACATAATGTGAATGAAGGAATGTGTGAAATATAATGTATGTGAATAAAACACAGTGTGTACCAATTTAGTATGCAAACCAATATATTAAAAAAAGATCCAAAATCTATGGAGGATAGTTCTCTGACAAAGTGACATAGGCGGAGTCATTATGAGTTAGTGTGGACCCTGTGACTACTGGTTTGCTTTTTTGTAGAGTTTGATTAGAAATAAATAGAAATTGGAATGTATCCAGTGCTAAGTAGCACAACTATAATAACGTAATACACTGTAGATGACCAATGTAAAATGAATTCAGCATACTCTGTTTTCCCTCTTCTTGATCTCATACTTAGTAAGCTAAAATTGCGTGAGTTCCTGTAACTCTTTCTTCCATAATTTCTCTTCTTTACCTGTGGTTCTTTCATTTTCACGTAGTCACCACAGTCCCACAGGCCTGCCCCTTGTTCGGGTTTGTTCATCAGTTACCCTTTGTCCCATTTCATTTCACACTTACATATATCATTTTCCCAATTATATTACAAATTTCGTTCTCTTCCTCTCACTCCGTACACAGTATTGAGCCCAAAGGAGGTATTACTTGTTACAATGATGTACATCAATCTGTGACTATTAAAAAAAAATGTCAAGTGAACTTCTGAAAATAAGAGTAAGCAAATCAGGTAGCATTCTGAGGGTGGCATTCTTGTTCCTCTTGTGTTTTGTTTTGTTTTTTTTAAAAAAGGTTCTCATATTTTGACTCAGCCAACCATCTCTTTTCCATGACATAGTGAAAATACTAGAGTGAGGATGAAAGTGTGGAATACTAGAGCAATACTGTCTTTTAATAGCAAAAATGCAGAGGTGTTGTGGTCCCGTGGGACCCGGGCACTTCTGTGGGCACACGCAGCCGCCTCTGGAGTGGAGCCTTGCCTGGAAGGACCTCCAGGAACAGACTGAGAATGCTTTAATAAGTATTCCTGGGAGTTAGGCTTTCCTGGAAAAAACAAATTAGTGCAAAGAGCCAGTACTGTGCAATTTCAGCTTTAAAAATAGCCAAGTACTGTTAAGGCTGCTGTGTCCATGGGAGAAAAAGAAAGCCCTTGTTAACATGTGTCTCAGCTTCCTCATTAAAACCCAGGCGCTACATTGAAATCCTTGCCCTGCAGATACTGCAAAGGTCGTAAGGTTTGTATCTTTTAGGATGGTTACTTGGATCATCTCTGCATCTTGTAGGAGACAAACTCTGGGGGGAATGTTTCATGCTGGTCTTGTAATAAAGGAGAGTCAGAGATGTCTCTGCTTCCACTTAGGAGTAAGGCTGCCTCCTGTCTATTTCAGCCTTTCATTTGCCTAATTGACCTGCAAGGCTGTAGGGACATTCCCTGCTGCAGAGGCTCTGCTGACTGCAGAGACCCTACCTGGCTGGCCTTCCAGATTAGTGCGTCAGCACTTTAAGTAGAGATGAATGAAAAAAAATCAATCAGAGCAACTGCAGTGGTAGCATGCATAGCTCTAACCTAGTTTGAGCATAATTTTTACCTAGTCACCACAGAGCCAAGCAGTATTTAAGATGGTAAGTGAATCTGTGACAAATGTGCTGCTACTGCTTAATCAGATTTTTTTTAATCCCTTTTTCAGAACAAGTAAGCCTAACCTGCTTAGGAAACCACATTGTAACATGAATTATTATGTCAAGTTTCATGCAAACATTCTTTCTTTATTCTGATTTTAATAAAATTCCTGAATTCAGGTGGTAGTTAACTGATGGCAAATCAGATTGTTGGTATATTATTTTATAGTTCGTATTTATCCAGACTTTTTAAAAAGACAAAAAAAAACCCTGTCTTTCCTTCCCATATGTCTTTGTAAATGCCATCTCTTCTCTCTCTCCAAACTCCAGTGTTTTCCATTTCTAAACTTCTAATTCTGCAAAGATAGAGTTAAGCACTATTTGTCCTCTGGCTACTTTTACTACACCAGAGGAACTGGAATTCCTCAAAGCTGCAGTGTTCAGCTCTCAAAAGACAGCTCCAGTAACTTTCTGAACAGATTGGGTTAAACATTTCTTTTTTTTTTAACAGACCCATTCCGTGATGATAAGGCAGCAATAAGTTGTGCAGTGCAACACGCCAAAGGGTTCCAAATCTCATGAGCCTCTTTTTATGTGATGCTCTTGCAGCGAAGAAGATTCTTTGGGCTGTAAAGATGAAGAGCCTACTCCTCCTGGTGCTGATTTCAGTGTGCTGGGCTGATCATCACTCGGACAACTACACTCTAGATCATGATAGATTTATTCAAATCCAAGGTAAGAAAACACAGACTCTCTTATGAAAATCACATTTATGTCAAGTTACTTAGAATTGAGATGCTAGTTTAATGCTTCTTACATCTTAGTTCTGCTGCACTGCAATTTTTCCCTCTTCTGCTCATTTGTGAATATGTCCCTCTCTTTTGTTGCACCCCCTCACCCAAGTCTTTGAATTCTGTTGAATTACAGTAAAGTTAAGAACTGGAGGCAGTTTAACTTGGATGGCTTCAGAATGTCCAATTGCAGTAAACTGATGTGATTATTCAAGGCTTTCTCGTGCAGATGCTACCTTGCTAGTAGAATCTGATGTGCAAAGTTTATCTAAATTCATTTTGAAAGAGGAGGTAAGTAGGAAGTAAAACTGAAGATGTCAGGTCATCCTATCAGAGTGACTGTTTAATTATTTAAAAGAAACGATGTAAATAAAACAAAAGTCAGACAAGCCTCTGTTCAAGAAATAGCTTACCCGGTCACATTCTCCCTTCAATAAAGCCTTAGCCTCTCATAAACCAGAATGCTGCCCCCTGTATATTTCTGTTCAACTCAGCTGAATTCAAAGCCTGAAAACGGTAGCAGGATTTGAGGCTGCAGTACAATGCAGTTATTTCCTCAGTCCCAGCTTCAGATGGGTGCATTTTGTATTAAGAAAACTAAGAGACTTCAGCAATGGGAAGAGAGAGAGCTAACAGAGCCGAGCTTCCCTGCTTGCCCTTGTATGCTGAATAATTAAAAGAAGAATGACATAATTTAACTATTTAAACATATGATGATATTAATGTTAAATGAACCCTGGGCCAAAGGCAGCATGAATTTTCTAAGAGCTATAAAATATCATGCTTTATCTCCAAGGTCAAAAGTGCTGTCACAGAAAACTGCATTCACTGTTGGAAAGTGTAGTGTGTGAAGGTCAAATGATCATGTAAATCTGGCCAGAAGTATTTTGCTGTGTGTACTCTGACAATGCGAACAGAACTCTGGTTTTGGCTATGCCTTAGCTGTTGGAGACACTTCTCCTTCAGTTCTGATTGTTTGCAAATCTTTCTTTTTCTCACTGTTGAACCAGGGAAAGAAATTATATAATCATAAATTTCACTCTGCAAGCTGCTGACTCAGCTGTTTGTTTTAATGATTGTAGTGAAATCAAAGCTGTTCCTCAAACAAAGCTTGTACAATATTTACGCATTGAGATTTCTAATGAGCAATGCCATCCTTTTATCTTCTAGTCACAGAATTCAATTGCAACAAACTAGTGATACTTAGTAGTTTTAAGTAGCTGTCAAATATACTTCAGCTGTGATTTCAAATTATTAGTACAAAGATACCCAAATTTTCTCATAAACTGTGCCCTCAGAGAAGGAAATTATTTAAAGACTATACCACTTTTTTAAAAGAAGCTTTTAGTGAGCCCATAAGTCAGACTCAATTCTCAAAGCAAGAAAAATTACTGTTGCTTCCATCTACACATTCCCAAAACATTCCATTAAAATTTAATTCAAAAGAATTTCTGACCTAATGTAACAGAATTATAGAGGTTATTTGCATACACTGCCTGTTTGTTTAATGTCTTATAGCTTCAATAGTTCACTCCATTTTCATTGTAAATTCATATTCTTAGAAAGTACAGGCTTGCCTTGAAGAGGTGCTCACAGCTTTCAAGTAATAGAATTACATGCCTATATTTGACTTGTTTAATAGTGGAATATAATTTGGGTCACAGGATTGTAGTATTATGTCCATAAGGGGAATTTTTTTGTTAAATTGCCCAAAATATCTGTCCTCATTACTTTTTCTTCCCAATGAGGGGCAGAAAGTCATTGACTTTCATTCATATTGTCTTTTCATTTTCCCTGATTTTCACAAAAACTGCTTCAAGTGACCTGCCATAATTCCCATTTTCTCCTGTAAAAGCAAGCAATATAGCAAAATATATAATTAGTAAAGGAGATAGCCTTCATTCTTCATTTACTTAACATATTAGATTATTTTCTTTCCCATATTTAAGAAAATTATTTCTTAAACACGGTCCTAAAGGGATAAAGGAGTCCAAACTATGACATGATTTTATAAGGATTTTGCAGTCATCTCATGGAGTAATCTGAATTTCAAATTTCTGAATTGTACTGATTAGCAGCAGGAGCTTGTCTCGTTGACAGAGTACAGCTTTAAACTCATACTGCCAAAAAGATACCTTTTCTCACTTTCATTTTGCATTAAATGTGTATTTTTGTACCCTGGATTCCCTGGTCCTAATTAATGCCACAGGAACAGTGCATGTCCTCTGTAGATTTTCCTTGGCTCTCTCAATGGAGATGCTTACCTCTTGGAGAAATCCATTCTGAAGTCTCATGCCGAAGTGGTCTAATTATTTTTTCCAAAGCCTTCCTCATGATTTTGGTGGCAGAGTGCAATAATACGTAGACCCCAGGGATTTAGTCTGGCTAAATGAAATGCTGAAATAAAAGGAAAGGACTAAGAAAACATAGCAAGTGGCAAGCACAGTGTGTGAAGGGTTTCTAGCAATGAACATTTTGCTAGTGGTGAAAAAGAAAACTTCACTAGCTTCCCATACACAGCTGTAGCAAAAATTGCACATGAATTAATACATAGCTGTAGATAAAATTACACATGACCTTATTCATTCTCTTCACTTTTCCATGTTGTTGCTGTGTACCACAGAGTAGGAACCAAGACGTAGCTGACCTTCCGGTGGGTTTTCAGAGGCAGTGAATCACACGGGAGGAGATTCCCCATTCTGCTTCTACGGAGTAGCTGGTGGTCTCCAACTGCATGCTTTCAGGATTGCAGCTCAGCTTCTTGCCATTAGGCTACTATAGACACTAATTTAAAAATTTGATCTCTATATATTTATTTGTACATCATATACAATCCTCAGTGTTGTCACTCATTATTTGTGATAGAGTTGGAATCAACTCCTAGCTGACTTTCTTGTGGGGAGGCTGTAAATTACACTAGAGGAGATTGTCTGTCTTTCTCCCACAGAGTCACTGGGGGATTCTAACAACTAGAGAAGTCTGGCCTTTGGGTTACCAGCACAAATCTTTATGGACTACACCACCAGAATTCCAGTGTATGGGAAAACAATTTGCTCAAATATTTCTACAGGAAGAGTGACTTTATTAGTATTTTGTAGTACAGTGTGTTGGTTAATATGGCTATGGATTGGAGGATTGGACAGGGTTTTGTTCTGTTGTATGTGGAGTCACTATGAGACACAACCACTTCAACAACATTCAGCAACAACAGCTGTTGTCTGTATCACTGTTGTGTTGCTGTATGCCATTGAGTCAGAACCGACAGCTGACTTTCTAGTAGATTTTCAGAGGCAGTAAATTGCACTGGTGGAAGAAGAATGGGCAGTCTCCTCCCATGCAATTACTGCCTCTGAAAACCCTCTGGAAGGTCAGCTATTGGTCGATTCCAGCTCAATGGTACACAACAACAATAAATCTAAATAGAGGAGATTGTCCATCCTTATCCCACAGAGAGGTGGATTAAAAATGCATGCCTTTTGGATAACAGTAACTTCTTACTATTAGGCACCAGAGCTCCCTATTATCTGTATTGTTGTTGTTGTTGTTGTTGTTGTTGCTACTGTTGCTCTTATGTGATTTCAAGTGACTCAATCTACTGTGACTCACAGTGATCTTATGCACAATAATTCTGAACCCTGTGCTATACTGAGCTAGTCTTGCTGTGCCTGACACACCCACCCCCATTATCCTAGTTACCAAGTCAATCCAGGGTCTTCTTTTCTTCTGTTCCTCTAACTTTCCAAGCATAATGTCCTTCTCCAAGGACTGGTCCCTCCTGACAACATTCCCAAGGTATATGAGTCAAAGCTTCACAGTCTTTGCCTCCAAGGAGCAACTTGATCTCACTCTCTTCAGTATAGACTTGTTTGTTCTCTTGGCAGTTCAATACTTTCTTCTGGCACCATAACTCAAAGACATCAGTCTTCCTTTGTCATTCTCAGCCATTGTCCAGCTCTGTGATGTGTAACAAGTAATTGCAAAGAGCATGGCCTGGATCGGAAGCACCTTAGTCTATAGACTGATATCATTGCGCTTTAGCATTCTGGAGAGATCTCTGATAGCAGATTTTCCCAGTGTAATTCATCCTTTGATTTCCTGACTTCTGGTACGAAGAGTGTTGATTGTAGAACTGAGCAAGTTGAAATTGTTAACAACCTCAGTCTCTTCCCTATCTAACATGGTGCTGCCAGTTGGCCCAGTCATGAGAATCTTTGTACTTTTGATGCTGAGCTTCACTCCATATTGGAGACTGCAGTCTTTGATCTTTTTCAGCAAATACTGCAGATCCTCCTCAGTTTCAGCAAGCAAGGTTGTGTCATCTGCGTAACAGGTTGTTGATGAGTCTTCCTCTAATCCTGGTACCACATTCCTCCTTAGAAAATCCAGGCCCCTGGATGATCTGTTGCACCTATAGATTGAAAAGGTAAAGAGATAAGACACATCCCTGACACATTGCTCTCCTGATTTTGAACCATGCAGTATTTCCTTTCTTTCATCTGATGACTGCATCCTGGTCCAGGTATAGGTTTCACATGAGCACAATCATGTGTTGTGTGATTCCCATTCTTCTTAAGGTTAATCACAATTTGTTGTGATCCACACAGTCAGACACAAATAGACATTCCCCTTTTACTCTCTGCTTTCAGCCAAGATCCATCTGACTTTAGCTATGAAATCCCTTGTGCCACAGACTCTTCCAAACCCAGCTTGCACTTCTGGTAATTCTCTGTCAGTGTACCGTTCCAGGCGTTTTTGAATGATCTTCAGCAAGATTTTGCTTGCATGTGATATTAGTGATATTGTTAGAAAATATCAAACTCTATTAGATCACCTTTTTTGGAATGGTAATAAATATGAATCTCTTCCAGACAGTTGACCAAGAATTTCTTCTTCAGATTTCTTAGCACAACCTGGTGAGAGTGCCAACATAACTGGGGAGTAGAG